GGAAAAATACATATTTTACTAATTATAATTAGTAAAAAATTTAAGCGTTGCATTATTTTTGATTGCCACTGTATATTTAAAAATATATAATTTAAATAATTTTTATTAGAAATAATTATTGATTAATACAAATCTTTTTGTACTAGATCATAATATTTATTATAAAGTGAAACAAAGATTTTTAATATATATTATATTATAACTTTTTTCTTCTCTTTTCATGTAAACTTTACATTTATATCATGTGAACAAAATCTGGATTAATTTGATTCGGATTGCATCCTAATCCACTACCTTGCCTTCACAATTGATCCATCAATCTTTTGGTTTTCATAGTCACGCATAGAATATCAAAATGGTAGATATTGCGCGTCTTTGTCGCTTCATTATACGCGATGATTTTGGTGACATTGTGGCGGTAATACAGTATTCTATTTTATTTTTTTTTCTTTTTATAACAGGAACTAAATATATTTCTACTCATCAAAGAAAATAGCAAAAGTATTATTAGAAAAAGGACGACTCTCTCTCCCTTCAATTCGTCGCTTCACAAAACTCGATGTCAAGAGTATTAAAGAAAATCTCGTAATTCTCATGCAACATAATATGGTGTATTATGCTGAAATAACGGAAAACAACCGAACTATCGTGTATTATCATATTGATGTGCGAGAGATTCTTGCTAGACAAAGAATTGGGTTATACCTGTGGCATTCAAAGAATTTGCATAATGTTGAGCTGGTATGTAAACTTAACTTTATATTTGTTGTTTTCATATGAATGTATCATTAATTAATTCAATAGGCACCGGCAATTATTCATTATATACTGTTGAACGGAAAAGGAACAATAAAAGGAGTTCTGAGTCATTATTTTCATGAGAAAAACATTGAAGGACAGGAATTGACAAAAAGTTGGTAGATTGATTGCTATTGTTTTCATTTGTCTAAGAGTTTGTTAATAATTCTTTGAGTCATTTTTATTGATGTCGCAGATATAACAGTCATAAAACGATCTTTTGAAAAATTAATAAGAGAACGCTATTTGATTCCTGTATTCCGCGAAGATACCATATCGGCGTTGGATAAGAGAAATGAACAAGAACAGAAAGCATTGATTGAAAGGCAACTTATTCTACCGACAAAGAAAGAGATGTCGGATATCAGATCTAAAATTGATAATGATATACGAAACGCAGATAAAGCAGCTCAGAGTTCTTTGGTGAATTTTTAAATGAATTCCTTAATTAATTGTTTTATCATATTTTTCTTATTTATATTTTTTTCTATTATAGAAGCGAAAGGCTGATGATAATTTAGAATCTTCGGAGCCTAATAAGGTTTGTATGCTGTTATTATTATTTTTCAATATTTTAATAGTCGTTTTCTGATTTCTTTTCTCTGTATCAATAGATGCAAAAAACCGATGAAGGTTTTGATGTAGGTTAAGCATTTCATACAGAATGAAAGTGATGATTTTATTACCA